TGAATCTTTTGGAATAAATGGTAATCAATTCCTAACATTTTAACTAACTGTTTAACTAGTATAATAAAATATACATTCATTTAAATTCTTACCAAGTTTATTTAAAATGGTAAATAAAAAGATAAGATAACTCACTTATGACATTCATGTTTAAAGTTGACAGTTGATGCAATGCTGTCCTTTCATTTTCAGTTATCTGGCACAAGATTGCACTCTCTAATCTACACAAAATCAAGAGCTTCTGACCCAACAGTCCTTTATAAAAACAATTGGATGCCAGAGGGGTTTTGTGTCACGAAATTATACTCAGTCAAGTCTTATAGTTGAGTGACAATGGGCATTTAACAGTGATTAACAAGTCTAGCATTTTCCTGTCAGAGAGGAAGCATTTGATAGAATTGGTAACAAAAGGCATTTAACTGCACTTCTCTATTTAATGCATGAATTTAGAAATACTGTATAAGAGCTGAAGATACTGACTGTTTGCAATTAACACTTCCTTCCTGATTGTATTACCGATTGTATTAAAACTGAACATACCAAGCCAATTTTGATTAGTACAGAACAAATATACTGTAGCATTATGTACCAAACTATAGGCATGAAGAGAAAGGCTTTTTAGGTAACCCACCTTCTATCTACCCAAGACAAATGAAAAGCACTGAGCACTGCTAATTATGCCATTAAAACTTAATAATGGGAATGTTCCTGGTCCCTGAGATGCATATCATAATGTAATTTTAGCCTTGGCAATAGAGGGAGGACTTATTTCATTAATCTGGGGAGTGTGTTTGGTCTCTGTTGGGTAGGTCATGGACTGATACAATGCTGTGATAATGGGATTTTTGTTTAGGACCTAAAAAACAGTATAGTAGACATTCAGCCTAGTGTGAAAAGCCAGTGGTAGATTGTTATGAGAACAGAGGCAAAGACATTGTTAACCATAACACAGTTAGAGAACCCTGAATTCTGTTTCTAATTTGAGAAGGCAGTGGAGAAAGGAGGAGTGTAATGAATTACTATATGAACAGCTTCATCATTGTGGGTTACTGTAGCTGCAGAAGAGCTCTTTACTAATACAGAGTCAGACATGTTGGGAATAATTCAGCTCTAGAAATATAAACTCTTGCTACTACAGATCTGTTTTTTTTTACTTTGTTAAGAGATTACTTGATCAATTGAATTTAATTTTTTTAAAAGGGTAGAAAATTTTAGAAAATTAAGAAAACAGAAATATATTCTTAAATATTAAAAAGATACCAAGCAACATAAATATTTAAAATATCAAACGGATGCATAGAAGTGTTTTTAAACACTGCACATTTGTACAATACCTCCAAAGATAAAGTATCTATATTGCAAGTTCAGTAAATAAACCATCTGTAAATATAAAACAATAAAAACATTACAAATATTCTGCTTTCCACTTTAGCTAATGTTTTTAATACAATGGGGGATGTAACTTCTGTTCAGAGGTATAAAATGTTTCAACTGTTTTATTTCAGTTTTTAATTTATGTATTGATTTTAGGGATCTTCTTCAAATCCTCATTACATGTTTTGTTCCTCATACAGTATGTGACTCACAGGAATCTGTGTTGAGCTCCAGCTCTAGTATAATAGCCAGGAGGAGTTTACCTAAGCAGAAGGTGTATAATTTCAAAAAGCTCACTACATATTAAAGACTCAGTTCTAAAGGACTGTGTTGGTATTTTGTGGTGTTGCTAGGCTTTTTTTTTTTTAATTCAACATTCAACTTCAACTTTGCCAGGAGGTCACTCATAGATCACCATGCACACTTAAAAGAGACAGTATATGTAATTCCAACTAATCGATTTAAAAGATAATCTTATAGGTTGCTGTTCGTAAATGGGATTCCCAACAGTGGCTTTGGATAATCCATGTGAAACAACCAAGCTAACAAAGGTGCTGAAGTCCTGCTGACACAGGTTTAATAAGTTTTGTCAATGCAGTAGCAGAAACAAGAAATCCTGGGGTGTCTGGTCTCAGGGATCCTCGGTGAATATTGTTTCTCACACTGTCAAATACAATGACACACCTGAAGAAGACTCCACGGCCGAAACGTTGTGTTCTCTTTCTTCTTTTTTTCAGCATGGAATAAACCTATTACTTGTTCCTCTGTAAAATACAAGCGCTGTGTTGTCACTCGGCCGTATTGAGAAAACTTGGATTCTACAGTAACTGACAACAGGAACAGCTGTTTTACAAGACACCCCACTGTACTCTATTTGTACAGATGTCAGCTGCCTAACAGTTTCATGATATTTTATAAATTAAAATCTGTATGTGTTCTCTAATAATTATTTATGTAAGTTCTGCAAGATTACAGAAAAAGTTACTGAGCTTCACAATAATATTTCTTACATGAATTACTATTTTCCTAAGCAATCATGAATTTGAGCTTGATTATTACTTAATTTATTTATTATGGCTGATTGGAGAGTGAATAGGGTACGTTATTCCTGCTATATTAGTGTTGTGTTTACCTACTAGTACATAGGTCTGCAGTCTCCTGTCTAAAGAGCTATCTAATCTCAGTGGAAAAAATGGAAGATACTAGTGTTTTAGGGACACATTAAATTATCTAACCCTAGCAACCCAGTGTGGAATCTACAGTCAATCCTTTTAAAAACAAAAGAAATCTTACAAATTTATAAATCTTACTTTCTACCCCATTTGGTAGTTAATAACTCATTGATCCAGGAAGCAAGAAAAAAAGAAAAGAAAAAGAAGCCAGGGTACCAGGGTATTAGCTTAAACAACATGGCTGGGTTTTAAATATCATAGACTCTGTGTGTATCTGTGTTGCTGTTGTTGTTGTTTGATTCATATTGACTATTCCTTAAGATCTTATTTCCATATACAGTAAGTGATACTCTAGTTTGAATAACTGTTTTTTGTACATTACTTTATGCAGTGCATTACATGTAATAGACATCAGACTTATTGGTCGATAAATTATTTTTATCGATAAATTCAAGCGCTTTGAGAAGCCACCTTTAAAGGCACTATATAAAATAAAGTGTATTATAATTATTATTATTCTTGGTTCAGGTATGTCACCCTTTAAATGGATTGGGCTGTCATAGTAATTCTGCAGTCCATGGGCACTGCCTCTTTCTTGAGCGACGGTCCCAAGGGCTCTAACTCTGTTTTAAAATTTGGTGATAATTCTGCTCTTTTGCTTTAAAAGCTTTTGTTTTTTAAATGCATTTTCAATGCTTAGCGTACAACACAAATGAAATATTTTCATTTTACATTGGCAAATTACAGACACCATCACTATGTATGCCGTGCAGTTTGCAGATCTACAGAAGCACACAGCCTGATTTCAATTAGCTTAACTGTTATAGCATCTGAGTTTGCTGTTCCCTGCAGCTATTTGACTGATGAGCAGCAATTTGTTTGTCCAGTTTTGAGCTGGGCAGACTCCAGGGAAATACAATGAAAATGCATGAAGAAAAATTCAGCTTACTTTAAATTCCAGGAAAATTGCCTGATGGTGTGTTTGAAGTACAATCTTTAGTAGCAAACTTCAATTGGCCAGTTCCAATCAGTTTCTACTAGCAACCATTTAATTGTAAGTGGGTTTCAGAACATTTTAAGTGCAATTGTGATTACCCATATGGCAACATCCCCCACATTTTAGACACTGCCAAACGCACAGTGTATTTGAAAAAAAAACACAGAATGACATGTTGACTTAAATGTTTTTCTATCGGAAGGCCATTTTTGTAACTTTCAGCATAGTCGAAGTTTGTATAACTCTCTTTGTCTCTAGTACAGTATGTGTACAATATTTCTAGTATTCATACAGGTTAGTCTGCAGGGCGATAATAGAATTGGAATAATGGAAAGTAATACAGGTCAAACCCTGAGAATAACTGGTGTATGCGTGTATGCTTCTGGATTTTCTCAAGGCAGTTGTGAAGGGTTGGGCTTGATCCCTGCAGTGTTGTCACCTCTCAGTCAGTGGAAGAGACCACTGCGCCGGATGGCATCTGGAAGATATGAAGTCACCTGGGAATGTGAAACCACATCTCAGCTCATCTACCCCTCTTTAATAATGCCTCAAAACAGGGTTATACTTGGACGGAGGGCGAACACAGTCATCTCCAATTTCAGAGTCAAATTTCAGAAATGATGTTCTTTTAAGTGACTCCTTTCCAGAGATTATGTTTAGATGTGAACTCGTTGAAGCCCATTAGAGAAATGCTTCCACCCCGGTCGGGGGCACAGCCATGTGGGCTATGATGGAGACAAACAGCTCTCAAGCATTTGAGAATGTCAAACTGCACATGTAAAATATGTAGTTTTTTCTTTTCCTTCTGATGACAACTGAAAAGGTTGTTTTTACTGTAAGCAGAAATCTAAGAGCTTACAGGTATACAAATGTTCATTGAAATCCTTGACTGAAGAATTTACAGGCTGAAAGGAAATTATCCACATGTGGCTTTGTTTCTACAAATGGGTCTAAATTCTATGGCTGGTTAATCACACTGTACATGTCTAAATAGCTGTAGTTATTGTTCCTCAAATTCAAAGAGATGTAAACCGATTATGCACCACAGCTTCCAAGTACTTTTGTCATTTTTGTCAAGCTACATATTGAATCGAAAGTACACTTGTTACATAGCAACTTCAATTTTAAATTAGGTATGTTACACATTTGGTGGAATACATTGTAGGCACACTGTACATTGTAACTATTATAATGTAGACTGCTACTCCTTTATTAACGTGTTGCACACTGAAGGTGTCCTGATTATTTTATGCTGTGTAATTGTGTTGATTAGGATTTAACTGATTTAATTGTTTTTGATTTTGCTGTGTTATTGCTGTACATCTAAAAGGCTCAGATGTGTAATTAATCATCTAGCTCCTTTTAACAGTGCATTGCCATTATAGTACTATTGTGAATGGCAGACCAGTCCATATATTAACTCTTAGCATGCCTGTCTGTTTTTGTTTTAATAACAGGAAACGAAGCAAGTGGAAGAGAAGAAACAAGGGCCTAAGATGTCAGACTTTTCTAAAATCTCCCTGGAGTCTCTTAACAAAATCAACAGCAACAGCGGGCCCTTTGTGGAGAAAGAAAGGAAGACGATAAGCAAGGCTGATGGGGCAAAAGATGAACATTGCGGGACTGAAGAAGCTTCTTCAAGTTGTTCTGATAAGCCTGGTGTGGACAATCTGGAATCACTGAGTGATTCTTTATATGAAAGCTTTTCCTCTTGTGCCAGTCAAGGCTCCAATGATGTATAGAGATATAGAGACATGCAGGTACATACGGGGGGGTTCTTCCCTGTGGAGCACTTAATCTAGAAGGAGGAGTTGATGGAATTATAAAAAAGAACATTCCCAGTGTTGCAGAGAATGAAAGCACACTGTAATTGTCACTGTAAGAGCAGCAATATTTGAAATCTGCATTTCATGGCAGAGTGTACAATTTCTGAGATTTTGAGGAAAATTGCACTGTTATAAATACTGTACAAAGATGCCTGTAAATTCAAATCAAAAATATATTTGTAGCAAAATGAAAGAAAGCAATAAATAGTATTTCGGTGCCATCATCTGGGTTTACAGATTTGTCTAAAATACATGGTTTGTTAACTTATCTGTAATTTCGTTTAAAATCATCCATATTTTAATAGATGTACTGTAATCTGGTTTTGGATAATGAATGAGGCAAAAGGAAAATCTCTTCTGTGGGTCGTAGATTAACTGTTAAACAAGGAGGACAGCAAATACAGAAAAACTTACTGGCAGATAATATTGATTAGGCTATAGTTATGCATACCCACTTCCCTCACTTGAATGAAAATCCATAAAAACTGAGTTCTTTGAGAGCGTGATCTTTATTTTCATTGTTGCCGATATAAGATAGTAATAGATAATACATCAGAAAATCACTATAGGCTGCTGATATTTATAAAACTGAGTTTATTTTTACAGTTTTTATTTTAAAGGGCATTTACTTTTATAGAGAGTTGAAACCAAATTTGAAAGAAAGACAAAGAATTTGTTTGACTATGAAACTGAAGCACATACTGTACTTCTCCTAAATATAGAAAACCAGAGAATCGAAGGAAGTTAAACCAATTTTGAAAGGACGAGCTTCCATTATTTTTTTGGAAGAATGATTGACAGCAAGATGTGGCTTTCAATCATCATTTAATGAACCTGGCTGGACCAAGTGAAAATATTTGTTAAAGTAATTCGGGTTTTTAGATTAGGGATGTGAGAGATTACTTCAAAGTTAGGGTAACTTTAAGGAGGGTATAGTGTGATTGAGGTATACCATCAATCATTTCAAATTTACTATTTCAGAAAGACTTTCTTAATAACAGTACAGCTAATGACATTCAGATTTTCCAATGCACAACATAGTGAGGTATGTGTACTCCAATTTACCTTTATCTTAAAGAAAACAAGAAATACTATAAACATTTTTATACACTGGAATTTTCACAACTGTGCTGTCAAGTCAATGTGAAAAAGTAGGCATGACAAAGTTCTTAATAAATTTGTATAGAATACTTTTTATGCAGAATATATTACTAGCTTCTACAACAACAGTACAGATTTGCAGCCGAATATCGCCTCATTTCATTTTCATTGTCATTTCTATTCTGTTTTTATGTGTAAACAGTGCTCTTTGAAGTGCTGTTTGTTAATAATTCTGTTACAAGATCAGACACAAGCCATCAGGGACTGATAGCATGCACAAAAATATAGATCCTTAAATTGTATGTGACAATAGTTGCTTTGTAAACTGTTCTTTGTCTTGAACAGTTCTTTTAAATTGTTCTGTTTTAGTTTTTTGAGAAACCTGAAAGTGTGAAGGTCTGTAAATCTTTTATTTTAAATTGTTGTTCTGTAAAAACTATTAGCACAACCAACATCACCTTAACTCATAATGTTCTGGGTTTTTTTAAAGTCTTGACCAAAATCCACATATACAGTATACAGATCACTTTAACGGTGCTAACAAAGAAAACACACTGTATTTCATTTTTTTTCTATGAAACTGTGTTCATATGTAAGGAGAGAGTCTATTTCAAATGACAACTGTATTTTTCTAGCTGTGATGTATTTATACCTACTTTTGTATATGCAACTGTAAAGTAGCGTATTGTATTATTTCTGAATTTTTCCATTATTGTTAAATTTTAAGATAATATGGTACCAACAGTGTTACTTTGGTAATTGTGCAATTTTTTGCTTTTACAGTAGAATTTTATGCCATATTTTATGTAATGATGTTGTCATAAATAAAATAATTTCTGTTTTTTTTTTAAGTTTTAAAAATGTCTGATTGTAATTGGAAAGCTATTTTATTGTCATTCAGTTTTTTTTCAGGATATTTAGGGGGAAATGTATAGCTATATGTATATATAGATACATACATTATAACTCTGTAAACTTGAGAATGTGAAGGACAGTGTTACTTAATTACACCAGATAACATCTGGAAACGTACAGTATGAATCATCACAAAAGGACACTAAACACATAGATAAATCTTCAGTTGACTAATACTTATAATTCTTAATTTAATTTACTGTACGTAGAATGATTTATCCAAGGGGATATCAGAGAATAGACATTTCATCCACCTACTGAAGTGCAGCCCCCACTTGGGTCACGTGAGCAATTCTGCAACAGAGCCCCACTGCGCAGCAGATAGGGTGGAGTAGAGAGAAATTACTTCACCAGTTGAACTTTAGGAGAGGCCTGATTGTGTATGACCAGAATAGCATTTAGTCTGAACAATGTGACTGGCACCTATACAAACAGTGCTATTGGTTTTGATCCTGGCCTGGTAATAAGGACTTTGCTTGAACATTTCATCCAAAGGACAGCATCTCCAGCAGGTGTCTCTAGCCTTTGGTATGAAAATTCAGATTCCAAAGGGATGATCGACCCCTACTGGTCAACCAACACTCACATCAGCAACCTACTGTAGTTTTCCATTGAGGTCTCCGCATGCACTACTGGCCAGCCCCAGTCTTGCTTGGGTTTTGTGGTTCTATGTGATCAGACCACAAGGTGATGAAGCTGTTGCCAGCAAAACAATGTTAGAGTGGAACTGATCGTTTAGAAGCCTATTTAATTAAGGTACTATTAGCATAAAAAGCCACATACATCTTAATAACCAGAAGAGTAATGTGGAGCAAGATTTTGAATAGTAATACCTTAATCAATTCATATACTGTACTTAAAAAATGAAGCACAATGAAATCAAATGTTTTCTCAGATATAAATTGTTTTTGTTGAAAAAGTTTTAAGAATTATGAAATACTAAATCAATTAAGCATAAAAAAATGGCACTATCTGTGATGCTGAAGCCTTATGGTTAATCATAAATGACATTTTGAGCTGCTCTGTGACATTAAAATTCAGGCTGGCCACATTTGGCTGGGGGACAATTTGTCATTGTTTGGTCTTAAATTCAATTATAAGCAAAAATTATCCTTTTCTTTTTATAAACTCATGGTGTTTCTTCAAAGATTACCACAGAGGCTTATCTGCTTTAAACGTGAATCTCTTATCTCCGAGATACAACAGCCGGGCCATAACTGCTCTTTAGCAACTTCTGATTATCAACAGAAGAATAATTAAGCTTTGAATATGGAAAATGTCTACAAGTATCAAAAATGGTCATTGATTTTTCTTACTTTGTTCGTTTTCCTTCTGTCTGAGCAAAAGACAACATTACCTTGTAGAAAACATTACTGTAAATGGTATATCTATGAAACACTAAGCTTCTAGAAAACAGAAGACTCAACCAGAAGAATATAACACATCTAAATAAATAGCAAGTGAGAGGGATGGTGGTGTGAGGGGTTTGCATGCTCACCCCTATGCTCGTTGCTTGGGTTTTCCCTGGGTGGCTGCGTCTGACTGGCTGTTCTCCGTGGCCCTGCAGGGGACCTGCCCAGAGGTGGAGCTGACCTGTGCTTCCAGGATAGGCTGTGGCTTGCTGTGACCCTGCCCAGGCTGAGTGGCTAACATCACTTTATTAGCCATATACAATTTCTTGCATTAGGAATTGGTCTTTTCGCATACCCCAGCTTGCTCTCCATGAGACACACAGACAGGGGGAGAGGCCTGGGGTCAGGGCACAGGGTCAGCTATTGTACAGCGCCCCTGGAGCAGTTGGGGTTCAGGGCCTTGCTCAGTGGGCCCAACATAGTAGGATTCCTCTGCCAGCTAAGGCAACCTTCCAGCCACAGGCACAAATCCTTAGCCACAGAGCCACTGCTCCGCCCCCAGGTATCATTGTATTATTATTTTGTTATTATAAATAACATAACTGTACTGTTGTTTAAAGCCCATCTTCTTGAGTGAAGCAACGTGCATTGCTTGAGATGGATGGATGGATGTGCAGTATAGCGAATTCCCCGCCTGGGATTCTCCTATTCTACCTATTGGTTCCCTGACACATACAGTACAGTACGTTTTCTTACCTTCATTCTCGGTTTTAAACCCTCATGCCTGGGTAGCATGAGCGTACAGATGTTGCAGATGAAAATATAAATCAAGAAGGTGGGCTTTAAACAACAGTACAGTTATTTATAATAACAAAATAATAATACCTCTGGGTGATTTTTAAGAAACACTAAGCGTTGTGCAACAGCCCACACAAAACACAACAGAAGCCAAAGGAGAGTAAAAAAGTACAGAAATTAACTTACTGAACCCAAGAGTATGACTTAATTGCAATCTAAAAACTTTTGTAAAAAAATATGGCTTTTAAGCAGGTTTTTAAAAATGCTAACAGTCCCAGATGCTGAACTTTGAGTAAGAGACCAGAATCAGCACATCTGAGGTTCTAGTCTATAATATAACTCATGCAGTAACCCCATAAGATTATTGCTAATAGTATATTAATTATGCACGAGCAAGCAAACTTCAAGATCCATTTCAGATTTCAATGGGAAAATATATAATTTAGTGGATACCAGTCATGTGCAAATGCAGAGTACTTCAGATTAGCATGGGCTGCTAAATTCTGGACATACAGTACTGAAGCCTGTTTATTGTAGTACCTCAGAAGTTCCCAGAAGTAAGTAGGGCATTCCAATATTCTTGTCGTGATTAAATAAGGGATTGTGTCAATATTTCAGCATCAGAGCAGTCTGAGTAATGCAACATAGATGCAATAAATGCAGTAAACACAATTAAAATGACAGCAAAGGGTTAAAATAACACCAAAGTTTCTAAACTCCATAAAACTCCATTTGATTTTTTGTAGGACTTCTTTACTTGCACAGACACTCTTTTCACAGACAGCTGTTTCAGTGAACTTGTATTATATTGAATAATTTCAGACTAATCAAGTCCCTCATTTTTCATGTGGAGACATGCAGGATAATTAATAAAATTAATGCATATTTGTTACAGCTGCTGTGATTTTGTGAGAAATGTCTGTATGCTTAAATTTCATTTTAGTTTTATTTTTATCCCTTTATATGTAAAATAACGTTGCCTTTAATTTAAATGATTTATACCTACAGACTAACAAACACTAAAGAAGGTTTGCGCCTACAGGCCAGTGCTCTGTAGGAGTGTATTAGGCAAATACTGTAATTCAGAGTACAATATGTAAGCTTTTATGATCATAACAGATGTGCTATAACTCCACAACAATAAATCATGCTTACAGTACATGCAAAAGAGCATGTAAGCCAACAAGAGCCTTGCCAAAGCAAAACGAATTAACCTTAGTTAATCCAACGTTATCCAATTTTTAAACAAAACAAATCAAATAAAAGAAAGTTTGCACAGCCCATTAAAAGTCTGTGACGTGTTGCAGCCTACAGTTGTTTTTATTTTTAAATTATGGGTTTTCTTAGCAAGCTTACTGAATGGGGTTTCCTGTATGCAGAAAATTCAACCTATTGCCTCAGCTGTCAGTAATTAGCAATCACTCCTGATGTCATTTCCTCTCCTAAACACTATAAATACCTACGTTGTCTCCTGCTCTGCAGCTGCCCCTTGGTCACTCCTCACTCTGCAGGGGAGTTCCGTCCTCCTCATCCTCTGGCCTGGAGGTCAGGCCTCAACCAAGAAGGATAAGCCAAATTTTCACTAAACACTCCATAATCCTTTCAGTACGCTTAATTCTTGGGTTTTATTATTCATAATAAATCCTATTCAGAGGCTGGAATTTTCATTGTCACCCTGTAAAGAAATGAGTAAGTGGCTCTTCCATGTTAGCCATGATTGGAAACATCTTATCTAATTATTATGTACAGTATATTTCTATGATACCAATTTGTAAAACAAATAAGATCTCCTCGTTTTAATTTATTCCACAAATAATGTAATATAAAAACAATTAATTGGCTGCAGGGCTACAATTAAAGTAGCAGTGAGCAAGTATAAGGTAGCTCATCTTAGAATTCCAGGATGTTGAGGTGTGTGAGGCTTGTAGTGTGAAGCTGGGAATTATATGAGATAAGCAATCCTACTAAAAAGTTTCAATTTATCAAGCATTTAGCACACCAACTTCCTGCACACCATTCACTACAAATGTTGCTTTAAATAACTCCCTTAGCGTTCTCTATGTGCTTGGTCTCTATTTTCGAAGTGTGACTGATAAAGTGATCAAAATGCATTATTTACCATAAACGAGATACATCATCAGTAAATGTGTGGTTCACTGATTGCAAGCGCCATACACTGATGACAAGGTGAATTGAGAACAGGTATGCTGAATGTCACTGCTATGGGTGGAGAGCCAAGACTAGTGTATTTTCTCAATTTCAGATAAAGCAACCTTTTCATTTAAGACTGCTGTATGTGACTAATGTGACTGTCAAAATTCATCAGAGGAAGGAGCTTGAAGGCCCCAGCATCAGCTATGTGGATGTGATTTATTTAGCTTTATATTTTCTGCTACAGTTTATACAGTATATGGTGCCTTGCAAAAGAGTTCACTCCCTTCCAGTGATGTCCCATTTTGTTGAATTAGAAATTATGTAAACACATTTTCAAGTGAATAGTTTTAATTTTCGACGAATTAATGCCCAAACTAAACACTTTTATTGGGGAAAGAAGTTAAATGTCAGCAAAAAATGGAAAGAACAATCAACAATTTAAGTATGTTGATAGCATAAATGTGACAGCTTTTTGCTTTGACAAACCCAAATTAGTTCAGGTGCAGAAGAATACCTTGATAAGTTGTACAATTAGTGGAGTGGCATCTGTCTGTATGCAATAATAAGGTTCACCTGATATCAGAATAAATACACCTGTCTCTGTA